ATTTTTTGATTACAGAGATTAAGGGATGAAACGAGGGTTGAGGGATGCGGAATTTAATTCTCCATCGCACAGCATTGGTTCCATTCCTTAATATTCATTAGGAGGAAAGAGACGATTTTTTAATTAGCGGGCGAGTTGTCGGGAGTCACTGCGCCGAGAAACCATTAGGTTTTTCATAGCGCCGCGACTTTCGTCGCAGTTTTTATTTTTTTATTACAGAGATTAAGGGATGAAACGGGGGTTGATGGATGGGGAATTTAATTCTCCATCGAACAGCATTGGTTTCATTCCTTAATGTTAATTAGGAGGGGAGAGACGATTTTTTAATTAGCGGGCGAATTATTGGGGAGTCACTCTGCGCCGAGAAAACATTGGGTTTCTTATAGCGCCGTGACTTTCGTCGCAATATTAATTTTTTTATTGCAGAGATTAAGGGATGAAACGGGGGTTGATGGATGGGGAATTTAATTCTCCATTGAACAGTCTTTGTTTCATCCCTTAATATTAATTAGTCGGCGAATAAATCAACTGAAAAACATAAAGTACACATTGAGTACAAGGAGGACAAAAGTCACCCTCCGAACTTGTCCCAGTCACAGCGGGACTGCTACTGCCGAGATACTCACGCACCCGACTCACATTTACCGACAATTCGACCGGGACGCCGCCTTTCCCGTGGGGTACCAACTAACATTTTTGGAGTCAGTCAAACCCCCCGATTCGGGCCTCTACTCAGGTCTATCCTCTTTGGTACCAACTAACATTTTTGGAGTCAGTCAAACCCCCCGATTCGGGCCTCTACTCAGGTCTATCCTCTTTGGTGGGACTATCGGCTTGCATCGTTGGCGAGCTCCGTCAGTAACGATGGAATTCGGTTAAGGCACAGCTACCGTTGTGTACTGTGATTCGATATTTTCATTAACCATTTTTTCAAGAATGGACGCCACTCTTAAAACGTATTTCTAGACTAAAATGAGGAACGAGCGAATACTTCACAACAATATTCGTCAGTTTACATCCTCAATTCATGTACCCACCAATTTGTTCGTTACCGGAAAAAATGATGAAATTCAGAGAAATTTCCCTTTGCTTGCGGCAGGGGTAGCGATCGTTTATCCTCCATCCTCTATCAAAAAATAGGTGAAACGTTTTCGGTCAGCAATCTATTTCGCCAAGCATAAGTTTGAACTTCGGAATATTTCAATTTTATTCTATGTATAAAATGTTTTTTTAAAGATAGTTTTTTTTATATAGAAATTATCATTTATTTATTCATTTTGAAGTATGTATATATGTATATTATATTATTCATTACATATATACCATGAATACTACATAAGTATGAAGTACGAAGTATGATATATACGTATATATCATATAATAAATATGATAAATACTTATAATTTTTTTTATAAGGACAAATTCATGAATGACAAATTTTTATCCATGATTTTGTCGGAGAATATTAGAATGCATTACTTGCATAATTGTGCAGCACTAATTTTTCCTCAATTTTGGAAAAGGTAGAATTCTCTAAATTTCATGAAACTTTCAATCAACGTGAACATTGGCCTCGGAAATGTTTTGAACTTGGTTCTCAATTTTTTTTTGGAATCCGAATACAATGAGAGTAAAAACTAACTCCTTTCTGATCAAATGAATAAATGCATAAAAATCATGCCGACCGCGGAGTTGGCACGACCCTTTTGAGCGGACATGCTAAAATGAATGAATGATAAAATTTGATGAGTTCTATCGTTCTATCGAAACAACTAACTCGTGTCTTACTCAATAAATAATTGCATAAAAATCATGGATAATATTCATAAATCACTAGCCAATAGATGCGCGCGCGAAGCGCGCCCCCTTTCCTAGTGAATGAAATCAATTGTTTCCTGTATTTATACCATTCTAAATATGATCAATGATTGTTATCCAGTTCATTGTAAAGTCTGCGAGCATTATGGAAGGCATCAGCTTTGACAATCATCACCACAAGGCGATGATGCTTAACTTCGGGGTTGTCCTAATGTGTCCTGGAGAAGAAATGATGAACGGACTGTATTTTCTGTGGGGCATCATGCCCCCACGTTATCGACAACTCTTTGGGTCTTTGATGAAAAGATTCAATTGTTGGTTGAATAATGACATGGATCTCCACCGTTTGAGTCTCCATCACAAACCAGGTGCCTTCCACAAAGGACTCATCTTGCATGAGAGAATGCTGAGGGCGGACATCAACCCACTCAGACATTCTTCGTTTTGGAACTTCTTCAGTAAGTAATTATTATTAGTGAACTTCCGTTGCGATCGAAATACAGTTTGAAGTTTATTATGACAACGCACGTATAAATTGCAATAGAATAAAGAGGATAGAAAATCGAATTCTAGTGTCATTCTATATGTATATCATTTTCTTCGTTGGAAATGACCAAAAACAGCAAAAATTCTATAGAAATATTATAGAAAAGTCCAACGAATTTGGCAGGTTTTCTTACAAAATTTCCCTATTCGTGTGAATTTCGGCACAGAAAAAAAAACATTCTAGGACGACGTAGATATTTGAGATAAATAACCTTGAATTCCTCCCATTCCATCCATTGGATAAATCCTTAATAACTGAAGGACTGATGTAAGCAATTTTGGCGGGAGTTTTTCACAAGAGTAAATTTTTTCATGGTCGAATGCAATGACACTTTGGCAAAACGTTAATTGAACTATTATAAAATGATCGATCTATCGCTTAGCTCTTTGTCATATTGTCGATATCAACAAAAACATAAAAAACCATACAAATCGATATCGACAATGTGACAACGAGATGAGCGATAGATCGATCATTTTATAATGGTTCAAATAACGTTTTGTCAAAGTGTCATGGCATTTAACCATAAAAAAATTTACTGTTGTACAAAAGATGCTTACATCAATCCTTAATCCCTATTGCTCTCTATTCAGTTGGGACGCAGAAGCTATTCGAAGTCGAGTATAACTACATGGATCGTCTGAGGGATGGCCAGCGTGTGGACGACAGGGTTCTCCCACCAGTATTGTCTTGCATCGCAACAACAGACCTCAATTGCTTCAGGCGTCTCTTTCAGGGGGATGCTATCGACTGGACAGAGGTGTTTGTCACCGGTCGAAATATTCAATCCACCCACATGAATACCATGTTTCATAATCGAGACTATGTGTCAGCAAAGGTGATTTTGCCTCAGAGGGAACAGGAGATTGATCTACAAGGCCAACACGATCGCCCTGACGAATATGCGCTCTTCAGTATGAGTGGAGCACCCCAAGCACCTGACCCACAACACAGAGCTGCAGATGTTCGAAACCAAGAAGAAGATTACATAGGTAACATACATTTAGTTATCCCGATGACTCTATTGGTCACTCCCATTGGGCTCTTGCGATCACTCGATTCGTCACTCCCATTGGATTCTTGTGGTTACTGTGTGTATCACTGCCATTAGACCCTGGTGCATGCATCACTCACGTTTGGTCCCCGCATTCACTCGATTGGGCACTTTCATATGACCCTCACGGGAATTACTATATGTATCACTTTCGTTAGGGCCTTGTGATGACTCGATTGATCTTCCCCAGTTGGGACTTGCAAATGCTGCATTGGGCTCTTACATTACAGACCCTCAAAACCGCTGACATCCTTCTGTTTACCTCTTCTTTGACTCTTGTAATCATGCCCCACCCCCTTCTTGCATTGTGGCTATCCAACCCCCAAGATTGGTGGCCATGGAAGGTGAACACAAAAGACGTCCATAAAGCCAAATCGCCATAGTTGCATGAGATGAAGACATCTCAAGTCACTTAATTGATATCCTACAAGTTGTACTCGAGTTATACTCCGATAAATATTTAAAGAGTGACAAAATGGATGATCGAGTTCTTCGGAAGCAGTGACTATGGCCGTTCCATGGTGGCTTTCGTGCGTGATACTGTAACTGAACCTGCTCATCGATGTATATTCGTTTATATGAAAAATCAAAAAATGATGAAAGTTGTTCGTGAAGCCATAAGATTCCCGCCTGATTTCAAGTCGTGTAGCCACTAGTTAAATTACATGTAATGGACAGACTGTACAGTACATCAATGTTTATTCTTCCACTTGTCATTCATCCCCATCTTTGATTTGTATCTATGTATCATTCATTTCCATAATAACTTTGAAATTTCAATTAAAAAAAAAACTTCTCGCAAATAACTTAGAGCGCGCGCGAGTGCACTCGTCCGGTCTGGATACCTAAATTCATTAAACTATACAGTATAACTAATCATTTCAGACAATGAGTACCTGGACGATGATGTTGAAGATGGTGGTGGGGAAGAGGTGAACGACGTAGATATGAGACAGGAAGGTGTAGCTCAGGTGATCCCTGGGGTTCCAGAGCCACCACAGTATCAGGACATCGAGAGAGCCAGGGAGGGAGTGGTCGTGGATCTGGGAGATGCGCAGGTGCAGCTCGTCGCTGGGGAGAATAATGTCGGTAAGTGAGATCAATCGTTCAAGAGCTTTTGATCACTAAATCGAAATGATCTGCAAGATCAGTTGACCCTTGACATGATTTCATCATAGAAATTATTACGATCTATCATTCGCCTGAGACAGCTAGACTCTGTTATTTCAACCCGAATTTTAAGTCATTTCTCAATGATATTTTCAAGTTACCTAACTCAATATTGTATGAGCTGACAGTAATCCATTCCTCATTTTGTTTGTCAAATTCCTGGATCCAATTTACCACGTTGAATTGAATATCTCATTATATGTAAAATCCATTATCCTCTCAACTTTTCGTCATGATTGAGTCGTATGATTATTTCAATTTCCTGCTGTAAAGCCACCAGTAAGACGCAATGTGACAGGTAAATGATAAATGAGTCATGATTATCTTACGTGACAAGAGATAATCCCATTCATGTCTGTTTCTTATATAAAAAAATAACTTGATTACTTTGTTCAGCACGAGTCCAGCAGGAAAATCCTCCTGGGGAGGATCTAGTTGCCAATGAGCTCATTCGAGAACCAATGGATGTTGGGGCAAATGTGCGTGCGCCTGGGGTAATCCGTGGGGTTGTAGGGGCACCCCAGGATCAGGACATTGAGAGAGCCAGGGAGGGAGAGGTCGTGGATCTGGGAGATGCGCAGGTGCAGCTCGTCGCTGGGGAGAATAATCTCGGTAAGTGAGATCAGTCGTTCAAGAGTTTTTGATCACTAAATCAAAATGATCTGCAAGATCAGTGGACCCTTGACATGATTTCATCATAGAAATTATTACGATCTATCATTCGCCTGAGACAGCTAGACTCTGTTATTTCAACCCGGATTTTAAGTCATTTCTCAATGATATTTTCAAGTTAATTAGCTAAAAATATTGTATGAGTTGACAGTAATCCATTCCTCATTTTGTTTGTCAAATTCCTGGATCCAATTTCCCACGTTGAATTGAACATCTCATTATATGTAAAATCCATTATCCTCTCAACTTTTCGTCATGATTGAGTCGTATGATTATTTCAATTTTCTGCTGTAAAGCCACCAGTAAAACGCAATGTGACAGGCAAATGATAAATGAGTCATGATTGTCTCACGTGGCAAGAGATAATCCCATTTATGACTGTTTCTTATATCAAAAAATTACGTTATTACTTTGTTCAGCACTAGTCCAGCAGGACAATCCTCCTGGGGAGGAAGTAGATGCCAATGAGCTCGTTCGAGAACCAATGAATATTAGGGAGAATGCCGGTGCGCCTGGGGTAATCCCTGGGGGTCTAGGGCCTCAGGATCAGGGAATTGAGAGGGCCGGAGAGGCAGAGCAACCGATCGCTGGTGAGAACAATTCTAGTAGGCTAATCAAAACTAATAGACAGACACCTACCAAAATATATATAGACGATGTCAATTTTTTCAAGTATTCCAACAGTAATATAGTAGTAATCGTATTCAGAATTCAAATTTTTTATAACGACACTAATGTATAATAATACCACAATTTTCTCTTATTGATGAACATTTAAAATTAAGAAGAAAGAATAAAGACTCGCGAGGTACAGTGTTGGCCCCCCAGTGACGGTGTGATTAATTCTCTAGTAGTCGGACAGTGTTCGCGTGACAATGTGAAAAAGCAACCATCAGGACCAATAAACCTGTTTTGTGTTCGATCATTATTCTCGAAATGAATGTTTATCCTTTTTTAAACATGGAGAAGGATGAAATTGCCTGAATGACCATTGAACATGATCATCTATCTATTGGTCACAAAACATGGATCATCTGGTCAACCGTCTATCTACTGGGGATGTATCCCACTTTTTTCGTAATTTGATTATTTATTCCTTCAATGTTTTCTCCGCGAACCATCATGTTTCTATTATTCATTTAATTTTTTAGATATAGAATTCATCGTTGAAGCATTTAGGCGATTAATTGATTTTTGATCTCTTGAGGAGTCTCAAATTCCCTTTTACAGTTTATCTGTTGGTCTGGTTACCCTATCACAAAATTAATTTCTTCAGGCGAATATATCATCACTCCAGACTAAATGAACACTTGCCACACACAAATGTATATTTGTCACTCACTGTAAAATGCGGATTCCTTGTCGCCTGAAAATTTTTTTTCTGGTAATGTTAGAAGCTACCAAAATTAATCGAAATACTAAGAGCTTCGATGCAGAAGTAATGCAAAGAAAAATCTCCATTCCAATTCCTGGAATATGACCGTTACTCGATCTCCATCGCAATGAGAAGGAAGGAAAAGAATGACCCGACTTTATTATTGAAAACACTTCTTATCATTTTAGGGATCTAATCTTGTCTCGCGAGAATTAAATTAATTCTTCACTCAGTCAATTTTATTGTCACGATGCTATGACGGATTTAGACAATATTCATGCAATTTTGGGTTGTTATTTATGCAATTATTTGGTCGTTATTGGTCGAAATGAAACATTTTACATAAATATTGGTCAAATCTTATCTTTTATACTTTGAGAATATGGATGAAGAAATTTAAATCTCTCTTCGCGTCCTGGTTGAAGCTAAACGTAACTACAGTCATACAAAGAGAAAAGCAATTGGTAGCATTTTTATCCCGTCAAGTGGTGAGAATTCTCGCGTATTTTTTTCACTCGGTTCTTATCCCTACGAAGATTATATACGCTTTCTAGGAATGCTATTCTCAACATCTACAACATTTTCTCTTACCATTTGCACAAATGACACTTCACAAGTATTGCAGGCTCTGAGACTAGGTGGAGGTGTTGATGATATTGATGGTAATTTACGAGATTTTACTGTGCATTTCAAGTGGTGAAGTATTCTACTTTTTTTTCATATCAATCATCATTTAATTGATCCCTTCGTTAATTCCGTCCAGCTTTGATTATCATTGTTTCCACCCATTGAAAAATACTCGTCTTTTCTCTGTTGTCTTTCAATTTCTCATATTTGATAGAGTTTTCCTCCTCTAAACCTTAGTCTTACTCCTGTTGGTATGCCTCATACAAATATAAATACTGTTAAGGCATTTTTCCATTCATCTTTGCATCTTGGCTCGTTTGCCTGTTTCTATTTGTTCATCGTTAATTTCTGTGTGAAATGAACCTCCCTTGACACAGAGGGTTTCCCCCTATGATCTAATTAATGAATAAATAGTGATAACTATAATTTATATAATTTAATTACATAATATAATTCACCCGATTTCACAAGGAAATCGAAATCGTGGTTTTTTTAACCAATCGAACAATTAAAAACAAGGTGAAAAATTTGTAAATTATCCATAATTTATTCGAATAATTGACGAATTATCTATCCAAAAAGTCACGATTCAATGGAATTCGTTTATTACTTGTTGAAAATGGACAAATATCGCAGAGAATCCACTCCTAGAAGACAGTTTATAGAATAATCATGATAAATACAACGTCAATCAACGTCTAATAGAAGTAGAAAATATTAATTGTATTTTGACTAAACCGATTACAGTAAAATAATAGTTCTATACGCATGGAAAAATAAAAGAGAAACACCTAGAAAATTCGCTAGACAATTGTATGGGATCTCTATAAAACTCTCAATTCTCGGCCGTTTCTATTGAAACGTTCTATAAAAAGTCAACAGATTTATTTTTTTCTTTACAGTGTATGTTGAAAGATGTCCTGTACAATTTCTTCGGCTTAAATTCTATAATTTTTTTTTGTTTGATGTACTTGAAGGCAGAAAAAGAGAATTTAATGGAAAAAATTTAGGAAAATAAAATTCTATTGACTTTTTATAAATAAATTTTGTTATAGACCATTTCCACAGAAACCGGCAAAACCTTATAGAGATTTGTACAAATATCCAATAAAACTGACCAGCGAATCCGCAAGATTCTACTGATAACATTTCTCATACGTGGATCCTCTCTGTAATTAACTAATATTCTACTCAGCAGGGAATGACAGAGCAGTGAGGAGACCTCGGTCGAGATGCGTAAGGTGTGACGTGAACGCGGTACAGAACGTCGGAGTTGAGTGCTGTTGCCTCAATTACTGTATGCAATGTGCAACCGAAGTTTGCACTGAAGCTGGACACAATATAGACGACCGGGACGACCCCCTCCACATTCCTTGCCCTCTTTGTTCTGAGGCCATGGAGTTTATCCAGAGGGTATTCACCCTCAACGGAGAAAACGATGAATACAATTGGATCTGCCACACGTGCCTGACTGAGACGGTTGAAATGTTGGCAAGGCCATGTAACCATCTGGTTCTTTGCGTCCCCTGTGCGGTACGATGGCAAGAAGAGGCAAGAGGCCCAGACAGATGCTCTTACTGCAACGATGAGTGTACCTACCAGAACATCAACGTCAGAGACGATGACCCTCTGCATCCCCCTCAGTAACTCCTTCACAATTCTTATCCCCTTCAAGTAATTTTTTTTTCGAAAAACAATACAAAAAAATTCGTAACGTAAATCTTTTCGAATTTAACGAAAACCGACGAGTTCATTACGGTCTACCATTTATATGATAATTTATTTTCATAATTTTCAATGAATGAAAATTCAAATATTTTCAGTCTCTTGTCCACATGGGTAAGTAGAATCATCTTTTCTTCCATAAATAAAGTTCCTTGCAGTCACATCAGCCTTAACAGTTGTGTTAAGTTTCTAGGATTAAAAATTTCTCCTCCAGTTCTTCACAATGGACAATTTCAAGAGTTGCATGAGCTAGTGTGGTAGTAAAACAAGACAATTCAATTCATATTTTTGAATAGCCTGGCAAAATTGATAAAACATGAGAAATGTTTAAAAGTCAATAGGAAAACCTGTATTAAATAAGAATACAATAATTTTATAATATTAATACCTTTCTTTATGAACAATGCACAAATAAATCATTCAAACACCTAAAATTTATTCTGTACATCTCATTGAATTTATCGACGTTAAGATTTTTTCAGGTGACAAAGGTGTATTAAATTTCAAGTGGAAATAAGACGGAAACTTTCCTACTTATTTGAATTTCCAATTGAATCTGAATATTCAGCATCAAAATAAACAGCGTTTTGAATCATTTTTGAATTAATTATGCATATAATCGCTTGAATTTTTCGAATTTTTCCCTGATTTTTACTGGATAATTGCCCTACAAGTAACGGCGTTTCTCGATGTTCTCTTTCATGAATATTCAAAAGAAAGGTCACTTGTTAGAAAATTCCGTGATTTGAACCGAAAATTACAACAAAAGTTTTCAATAGCTTGAATAAAACAACAAAATTTCGGAAAGGATCTTCTTGGAATTTATTGGAGGTGTCACTTGCCTGTAAATTCGTCTCCACAAAAATCTATCTCCAATTTCAAGATAGAGAGAACCGTACAGCCACGACTAATTTATCAACATTATGTTGGTTTTTTAAAAAAGAAACCCGTTCCGTTGACCTCCATTTGTTCTACGATAAATAGCTCTCCCAGATATCAGATGGATCATTAGTCATATCAAGCTAAGGGTTGAACCTGCTAGGCAGCCAGAGTTTTTCGTCGTAACAGGGGATTATCGGTGATATCTATGTTCTTCAAGGCCTATTTTCTCTGAGGCGTGTCTTATAGAAAGAACACCACCGAGATCTATCTCCACTGGAATGTTGAATGGCTGAGCTATTGGGAGGATCGATTGTCGTCCTTCAGGGGGTCTCAGAGCGAAGCTCAATACTCTCGGGGAGTTTTCTGACATTATGCCAAAGAGCCTTCCTGTGTTCCTGAAGGTAACTCCTTGGAGTCTCTGAGGAGAAGTTCAATTTTACATCTTGGTGCAATTATAACAGAATAAAAAAAATTTAATTTAATATATTATATTTTCTTTATTATATTATGTTTTTATGTGGGATCATTCACACATTTTGTGTTATATCAACAGTTTGGAGTCTCAAGAATCCGGAAATGCAATTTTTTCGACCTTGTCCGTATGAGTGGGAGCAGGTGGGGCAGAATAGGGACTATTGCATTTCTTTTCAATGTTTACATCTCAGAAATAAATTCATCGAATAACTTCAGTCTAGGTGCATTGCAAAGGCGAATCGTTGTGCTTTTCATTTTAAAAAATCTTCATTAACAATGTAATGCGTCCATTTTCCTACAATTATTTCTATGCAGCAAAGTCTTGCCGGAATTTCTCGCTAATGAATCGATTGATTTCGATCATTTCCATTTACAATATAGCTATTGTTAAGCATTATATTATATACTTATCTAGAGACTCTACCGCATCTCCTGACTGACAATAATTGGAGTGCAATTAATGTACAAATTCATCTATTTTTTAATGTGTTCGAATTTTCAAATTTGACTTCAACCGAGAAGTTTCAACAATTGATACATTCTCATGCTCTCTATTAGACATTTACAGTAGCTCCCATGCGTAAAAAGTAGACACCTGCTCAAGTCTCATTACCGGCCATTGTACCAGTTGGTGAATTACCTGCCGGGAAGGTAACTGACCATAAAGGCGCTGTCGATAACTTCTCAGAAAATCTTCTTTGCCAGCCCTCTGATAAATGACAATATTCTGCCTTTTCGAAAAGAAAAAATGTCGGTTGAATGCAATGTCAGTGCGGCGATGATTAAGAGAAGCGCCTTCTGTCATCAATTATCAAGGTTAACAATTTGACAATTTTGTCAGAAGAATCACAATAAAGTTACCCATTTTCGTTTTTATAACATTCAAGAGGTAAATTTTCGATGGAACACGTTTTCGAGCCCTTATACGAATGAACGGATTGAGTTTTCGTCATGCTGTACCATTCAACTATTGGAACTCGGGAAATGTGGCCTCAAGCCGTCCAGGGGCCAAGAACTCAGAGCGGCAAAGCTGTAACCAAGTTTTACCTCTGTTCTCTACCATGAGCGCTGCCGTCGCAGTGGGATTTGGAGAGGGGGATATGAAAATGCGGGGGTAGCAACTCCTTGGTTCTTTTCCGGTCGAATAATTGAATCTCATAGTATATAAGCAATCAACAAAACAGCGTAGAATGCATTAGGTTGGAATAAAAATTATTTGGATATTTTTTTCACACCGAGGTTCCCAGAATAATACTCCAGATGTGAAGGATTAAATTTTATATGCCCCGACAAGTCCTGGCGAAAGAGATTAAGTCATAAACCTTTTGAATAAAGTGGGGAATCGAACACTTTTATTTCGGGGGTTTTTTGTCACAGTCAAACATTGCACGAGGTACAGATTTTTCAGCTTTGAGAATAAATTTTTATGATGAGGAATGGATTTTCTTAGACTGTCAAGCCTGACTGGTGGGACAGTTTGACAAATGGGGGAAAAGGCCCACTGTAAAAGTCCAATTCATTGTTTGCAATAAATCTGAGAAGTGTTTGGGGAAATCAGGCGAGTAAAGCATGTGAGTAAGCTTTGTATGAAAAATTATGAATTATATAGGGAAAATTACGCGCCTTTTGGAAATTGCGGAGAAATCACATTGATTTCCACCAAAAAAAATTGCAAATGATATTTAAATTGTCAGGCTTTTATTTATTAACATAATTACCATTTTTTCGCACTAACAAAAATATCACAATAATTTTTTAATTTCTCGAGTTTTTAGAAATAACATAGAAATGTCAAAAATGACTGGAGTTTTAAAATAAGCTTTTCACTGGAATTTTCACTCTAACACAATTCAAATGAGTAAAAAAATCCACGTCAACAGAGTTATGTCGGTATCTTATATTCTCATATATTAATTGAGTATTTGTTATAAAATCTTCTCTAAAATTAATTTTTTTTCAACTTGTTTTCTACGTGCAGAACGTCTATTAACGATTTTCACAGTCTGTTTCACTAAAGAATCTTCAATATCCTCGTCAATCCTTTCTTTCTTACTGAGTATATTTTTAATGTATTTGAGATATTCTTTGGTGGATTCTTTGATAAAATTAACTACCACAACTTTTACAACAGCCTCTACATGATCACAGTCAATAAAGTGAAAATTCTTTCCTATTTTCACCTCCGAAGCAACAATACTGGAAAATTGTTTCAAGTGAATTGATTTAACGATGTATGACGGTATAATCCTTATCATTTCTTCGATTGCTTGGTTAAATACCTCGGTAACAGTAAAATTTGCGCGATTAGAATATTGAGCGTAAATAAATTCATGGCAACAAGAACAAGGTAATTGTGGGTACAAGTGTGCTGCAAAATTGTTGATATTGACCTCAAAGAGCTTATTACAAACACTAGTTAGAGGAGAACAACATGTTATAGAGTCAATAATATTCTCATTCTCATCCAATTTTGTTGCAAGAAGCATATCTGGAAGGTCAATGAATATATCGGCTTTTTTATCTTCTTCACAATTTGCTTTCTTACTGTGACGAGTGTAATTGTGGAGGAGTAAAGTTTTATAAAATCCAGTGAAGTTGGTACAATTTGGCTTGATGTTCCTATAACCATGACTCTTTATCTGCCCAAAAAAATTTTCTAAAGAATCTTGATTGAAAACGTGAGGATAAAAATATTTGTAACCCAGCTCTCTTAAATATTTTTTCAAGTATTTCAATCCCTCAAGAGTCCGTACCCAGTTGTTGAGGCATATTGGTCGGATTAAATCATTTGGTTTACTTTTAATGAATTCAATCGATTCCAGAAAGTGATGTACTCATTCCATTCATCATCGGCTGATGATGTGGATATTTTAAACGAAGGTGCGTCACCGTTAACTGACTGAAATAAATTACTCATAAATCTTATAAATTCCGCTGTCTGTGAACCTTCTTCTGGCATCGATTTAGTTCTTGATGAATTAAATGTTCCAGAAATACTTATAGAATATCTGGCACATGCAACAGTATCAGAAAATACCTGAGCACTTAGAGCAACCTTCATTTTTTTCATTTGTTCAGTATAAACGTGACAATCGGTTAATTTTTTCATCAATTTATAAGGACCATGAGTACAATCAATTTCGTAAGCAGTTACAATATGCTCCCATTTAGCTATAAGCGTGGTCTTTTCTTTAGATTTGAATTTCAAGTTTTTCGTCAACATATTGTTTCGTATACATTTCAATAAATGAGGAACATCGAACACTGGAACAATTTTCTGTCCATCGATGACAATGGTTCTGCCATTTCCACTTGATTCTAAAAGAGCTTTTATCGCTCTTACATTAATGCTACCCTGATCGCAAACTGATGCTATCACATATAAATCATGTTTCTTTTCTTCGCGCACGATGTCTTTGTAAGTACGTACAATTTCTTCGTATTTTGATGTCGCAGTACAAAACGAATAAACAATGGGTTGCTACCAGTCACCCTGCATGCTCTTGAGCATCCAAACGAGTACATGATCAGCAATTATGGGTCGTCTCCCATATCCTGTATCTACAAAGCCATCTATCGTATCGGTTTTTGAATTATATTGTAATTTTTGATCTATTACAGTCTCATCCAAGAGTAAAACGCAGTTACGTGATTTCTTATCACTCATAGACTTATGTTTCTGATTTATCGCTTCAAATATGAGTGAATTTAACCCTGTACCGATGGGCATTTTTTAAATCATTTTACATAATAATGATTCATGGGGAAGATAAAAAATTTCTTGCAAAAAACGATATACTTTTGGACCTTGCTTGTATATGGCTAAAGCTAACATTTTGTCTTTCTTGCTATAAGTGCGTTTGTACTTATTGACCTTTGCATTTAGAATATTGCTGCGAATGAAATCCCTCACTGGCTTCGACATTTCACTGATTCTATTCCAAGAGCTCTCACCAATCATTTTTTCAACTTGCAGAAGTCTCGATTTTAATGAAGCATTTTTTTTGTAGTCTTCGAACTATTTGTTCCAAAGAAATAATTCTGTTGAAGATTTGTTGTTGTTCTGTCTTCAAAAACTTTTTCCTTGACAGATTAAATAATGACAGGACTGCAAAATAAATAATCCAGTTCCTATATTATCGATATCTACCTAAAAATGAATAAATCGGACGCAACCCTGTCACCTGCGTATCTTCATTCACGATACCATGCAGTTTTTAATCCCTTTTTCCCATTTTTTGGACAGTTCAAATCTCATTTTTATCGGAAGCCATAAATCATTACATAGGCCTGGCCTAAAATGAGGCACTGATAACTGATCCATTATAAATTCATTCCCATTCATGCATCGAACCCGACGTTTACTATTTTTTTCGAAGTCCAAATTTGTTTTGCTATTGGTTATAGTGTTGCCTTCAATGGATTCATGCGTATTGTGTTAGACCACAGATATTCTCGACATAAACAATATTATTCTTCATGAATAATGCTCCATCCTTTGGCAATGGTCCAATGTTGATTGCCGCCAGCCACATTCATGCTGGTCATTAATTCAGAAATGAGTCTACCTTTCTTTCTTTCCGTCTTTCCATTAATTTTTTTATTTTTTTGTCTTCCTTCTCGTTTTTCTTTCCGATTTTTGACTGCATCAGGCACTTGGTGAACGTCTAGAAATGAAAATACATTCAGAAAAATTTCAAATTAATGCCAAAAAAGGGGAATTCAAACAATTTTACCAGGAGATCCCAATTTTACACAATTTTCTAAGAGTTCTCTCTTTCGTCTTTCGGATGGACTTGTATATTTTGTGCAATAATTATGGTCATCGTTAAATATACAATCATTAGGATCAAAAGCAACTGACATATCCGCAGACGATTGGGGAGCCTGTAGCTCAACACTCTCCGTTGATTCGATTTTACGTTTTAAAAGAGCGGCTAGTATGAAAAAAGATTGAATGTTATTAGCAAATAATGAATATTTCTGTCATAAATATTTCTCACCTTTTAGCTGTGTAGAAGTATATCCATGTGTAACCCTTTCTTTAACTGGAATTTGATTTTCTTTGCAATAAGCGGAGGCATTAATACGCTCTAAAATTGTTAAACATTGTTTTATAAAACACAAGTCTGTTATAATTTCCATTTTTTAATTGCACATTGTTAGATCAATTCCGATCAGTATTAGGAGGTAAAAAATCAGGAATTCGAGAAAATAATGAAGAAGCAAAATAATTGATCGACTAGAAAGGCCTAACTAGGAGTAATAATAAATTTCATTTACCTGGCAGATTTAGAGTAGGCACAGCAGAAGTACTCACTTTTTTAGTCAAAAAATATTTTACTTCAAAGTGAGATTCACAAATTGTTTTGCGTTTCAGTTTCTCTAAAGGCAATGTCAACAATTCCTGATTCCCAGCTCTTGATAACCAAACTTCAAGACGAAAGGTATCGTCGACAGGAAACGTAAAGAATCTCTTCCCATGTAAAGCGCAATTTTTTACGGAACACTTGGGCATTTTGAATGCTGGAAAGCGATAAAAAATTTCATTATTTTACTCTGCGAGCGAAGGCACCAACACGTTGTCATACAGAATAACTTTAGACGAGGTAGAAACTTGTAATAAGAGAAATACAACATTCCTCACGATTTTATACTTACATTCACTTCACATGAAACTCAACACTTCAACAATTGACATCTAAAACAATGTTTTCTCATTGACATTTGGAACAAAATATCACTGTTGCAAATGCGTGGATTTGAGAGACAATTTGAACTGGTGCGGGCTATGTTTTGCATGGTGGTCTCAATCCCCTACCACCAGCTCATCCCCCCACTCTTACAGACAACAGTGCCCCCTGGAAGAGCGCATCTGCAACTTTTCTTCATCATCTGCTTCATTTCGGTTCTCCCCCCCTGCCGCTGTCACAGGGATAGTTTCGGAGGGGAATTTATGCTCTCCTCGTCCTCAACATGTTCTTAATGTTTTTCAGGTGATTCATTTGCTGGCTAATTAATATTAAGGAATGAAACCCAGACGGTTTGATGGAGAATTAAATTCCCCATCAATCGATCCCCGTTGCATCCCTTAATCTCTGTAATAAAAAAATACAAACTACGACAAAAGTCATGGGCCAGTGAGAAACATAATTTTCTTCTCGGCGCACAGTGACTTTTCACCATTCGCCCGCGAATTAAAAATTTGTCTTTCCCCTCCTAATTGAAATTAAAGGATGACAAAAAGGCTGTTTGACGGAGAACTAAATTACCCATCAATTAACACTCTTTCATCCCTTAATCTCTGTAACAAATGGAAGAAACTGTCATGGAAATCACAGCGCAGTAAGAAAAATAATTGTTTTGCGGCGCCCAGTGACTCCCGGTAATTAAAAATTCACCTCTCCCCTCCTAATTGAGATTAAGGGATGAAAAAAGGGCAGTTCGACCGAGAATTAAATTCTCCATTAATTAACCCTCTTTTATCCCTTAACCTCTGTAACAAAAAAATAAAAACTGCCATGAAAGTCAGGGGCCAGTAAGAAAAATAATTTTTTCGCGGCGCACACTGACTTTTCACCATTCGCCCGCGAATTAAAAATTCACCTCTCCCCTCCTAATGGAGATTAAGGGATGAAAGAGGGTTAATTGATGGGGAATTTAATTCTCTGTTGAACTGCCATTTTTCATCCTTTAATCTCAATTAGGAGGGGAGAGGTGAATTTTTAATTCGCGGGCGAATGGTGAAAAGTCAGTGTGCGCCGCGACAAAATTATTTTTCTTACTGGCCCCTGACTTTCATGGCAGTTTTTATTTTTTTGTTACAGAGATTAAGGGATAAAAGAGGGTTAATTAATGGAGAATTCAATTCTCCGTCGAACTGCCCTTTTTTCATCCCTTAATCTCAATTAGGAGGGGAGAGGTAAATTTTTAATTACCGGGAGTCACTGTGCGCCGCAAAACAATTATTTTTCTTACTGCGCTGTGATTTCCATGACAGTTTTTTCCATTTTTTACAGAGATTAAGGGATGAAAGAGTGTTAATTGATGGGTAATTTAGTTCTCCGTCAAACAGCCTTTTTTTCATCCCTTAATTTAAATTAGGAGGGGAAAGACAAATTTTTAATTCGCGGGCGAATGGTGAAAAGTCACTGTGCGCCGAGAAGAAAATTATGTTTCTCACTGGCCCATGACTTTTGTCGTAGTTTGTATTTTTTTGTTACAGAGATTAAGGGATGCAACAGGGATCGATTGATGGGGAATTTAATTCTCCATCACACCGTCTGGGTTTTATTCCTTAATATTAATTAACCAGCAAATGAATCACCTGAAAAACATTAAGAACATGTTGAGGACGAGGAGGNTGATTTCCATGACAGTTTTTTCCATTTTTTACAGAGATTAAGGGATGAAAGAGTGTTAATTGATGGGTAATTTAGTTCTCCGTCAAACAGCCTTTTTTTCATCCCTTAATTTAAATTAGGAGGGGAAAGACAAATTTTTAATTCGCGGGCGAATGGTGAAAAGTCACTGTGCGCCGAGAAGAAAATTATGTTTCTCACTGGCCCATGACTTTTGTCGTAGTTTGTATTTTTTTGTTACAGAGATTAAGGGATACAACAGGGATCGATTGATGGGGAATTTAATTCTCCATCACACCGTCTGGGTTTTATTACTTAATATTAATTAGCCAGCAAATGAATCACCTGAAAAACATTGATGGCTTAAGTTCCCCTCCGAAACTATCCCTGTGACAGCGGGACTGCTACTGCCGAGTTACCCGCACAGGCAGTTCGCCCAGCCGTCAGATTCGACCGTGGCATCATCCCTCCGTTGGGATCGAACTATTTTTGGCTTGGGGTCACTTCAACCCCGAGATCTGAGCCTGTACTTTCGTCAATCCTCTTTGGTTATAGTGCTGTCACTGCGCGTAGTTGATTCCGAAACGCACCCGTAAAGTTCTCACCACAAGAGAAAGGTCTTCGGGAAACTTCGGTCGAACACCGGAGACTGCCGAAGACCATTCTCTTGTGGTGTTGACTTTACGTTTGTTTCTCACCCTTTCGTTCCGTTGCCGTCTTCTTCGCACATTTGAAATTTTTCTCAATAATCAATCGAAGAATCCACCTCAATCCACCCGTAAGATGGCCGATTTCCGTGGAGTGCCTGGTCCGAGTGGAGCTTCTGGTGAAGAAGAAGGTAAATTAAGTTCTCAGGAAGAAAGACCGGTGAACTAACAATTCTAACCTCACTTGATTCGGTTAAACTACAATTTTTATAGCGCTTTTCTTGACGTTTTTTCCAACTCATCTGAATGTGTTCCTTCGAAACTATTTTTTTTTGTTTTTAATATTTTCATGTTTCTTGAAACCTGAATTAACCTCTAACACAATTGAACCCTAATTTGCGAGGGGGCGGGGGGGGGGGGGGAGGGATTAGAGGTTAATCCTGAATATTTTGATTTCATTGCACGTACGAAAAAATTCAATCGGAAAACCAAGAGAAATTCTATCGAATTTCTATCGGTTTTTCTATTGAATTTCTGTTAGGATTCTATTAGAATTCTGTTAAAATTTGTTTTTATTTGCGGCATTTCTATACAAGATTTTAACTAGAAAATTCAATAGATTTTCATTTTTCTATGAAATGCTTGGACGTAAATTTCCGAAGTTTTTTCCGCTGTACTTGTATTTGTTTCTAATAATCAAATCCAAGAAAAATAACTTGGAAAATCCATGCCCAAGAATTTCATAGAAAAACGAAAATTTAGCGACTGTTCTATTAAAACTCCGTTTCCATACCAATTTATTGAAAAAATTCGCCTCTCATCGATTTCTGTCATTCCCGATCCCAACAATTGCCCTTCAGATATTGCCCATCTTCTCGCGTTGAAAAATCTTAGAAGTGCAACTTATCGCAACCAGACACCGTTCCAGGAGACACTGAAGGGCCAGGTTAGCTCCAGATATGATTTTTCTCTAGCCCGATTAATGGTTGGAGCTGTGTATGATTTAGCATTGCAATTGGGGAAATTTGATGATGATCTAACGGTCAGAGATGGAGAGGGCTACAATGAGGGACCCATTGCAACTCCCTCCCCAACGTTATGTGAGTATAACAATTCTATAATCACCGTGTGCGTTTGTTCTGCTCTTGGCCATTTTTTCCCTTCAAAACACGTCTGGAGGAATTCAATAGAGAAACCTAGCGCTTCCTGTAAGAAATTCTATGAATTTCGATTAGAATTGCAATGGAATTCTACAAGAATTGTATTCAGATTCTATTGGAAAATTCTATTTGTTTGCGGCTTCATTTCTTTAAAAGATATTCAATAGAAAAGTCAATAGATTTTTTTTCCCTACGAATTGTCGGGCATGAATATTCTAAGTTTTCTGTTCTTGGGTTTTATTATGAGAAATAATTGAGTGATGTTAGTATTTTCTGAAAAGAGGGCAAAAAAATAAAATCTGAAAAAATCATCTTTTTATGATCTAATAAATATAAAGTAAAACGGATACTTGGGAAACTTCATTGGTAACGGTGAAACCCTTTTTCAGATTTTGAAGTTGGGGATTTTTTGACGGACTTATCCCTCAATACAGAGGGAATGGTGGAAGACCTATTCACATCTAATTACGAACTTTTGGAAATTCGATCACGTCAGCTGGAAGTCATTCATCTGCTGAGCCAATTGATCGCTTCGGCTCGGGCTCTGAAGGAGAAGTTCAAGAAGCTGATGCTGTATTCTCTCCGCCGCGTTGTTTCGAGCAGCATGGAGCCAGACAGCGACAGTTTTTGATGAAGGAGATTTTTTCTCATTATACTGTCTCTGGGGATTGAATGACGTTTTGGGAGTTAATCATCTCTGTTTTGACATTAAATTGAGCAGTGCGCGATCAGTCTATTTCGCATTTTCCCTCCCAAGAAATACAACTATTAGTTGACATCCCTTGTTCAGTTATTCTTCTTCATCCTCACTTCATTTTCCTCGCAGTCGTGTTATGTTTAGTTGATTACAATCATCACTGTACTATATTTTGTTTATCATAACAAAACACGGAGCTAATAAATCATTTGACAGTTTAAATTATGAAATTATCTTTTAATTCTTCTCTATAAGCGCCACATCGCTTTTTTCCTTCGTTTACGATATTATGAGAATAATTAGATTTCGTCAAGGGATGAAAAGAAAAGTAATAGGGGAGGGCGGGAGGTTTAGGGGGGGGG